ACAAAGTTATCTACACTGAGAGTGTCTGTTTTATATGAGTTTCCATGTCCTTGTTAGCACTACTCCTTTCTTCAGTGAAATGTTTAGGAGCTTCAGTTATAGAACTAGACTTCCGAGAAAGATATTTCCTCACAATGCTAGAAATATAAATCCAAAGAATGTCACATATTTATATTGGCTGTGTTTTATCTACGGAGGTTTTTCTCAACATAATCATATGATAAATTGATTTTAAGATGTGTTCCCGTCCCTGACTAGATTCTAATACATTTTAAGTTTTCATGGAAAATGAGTGACACTACCAATCTAATGAGGTTACAGATTTATATTAGCTAGAGTAGTACTGGGCATATGGGAATAACTAAATGTTAGTACCTCCCTTGATTTTGAAGGCATCTAAAAAGTTTGATTTTAGAATTCTATTTTGTAAAACCTGTCCATTATAATATGGCAGAAATAAACTGATAGCTCATGTATGTTCAATATTGTTGAATGGATGAACTTCAGAGTATGCTTTCTCCAAATGTGCTCAAATAAAGAATTCACAATGGGGCATGGTCTCATATGTTGTTTAATAAATTGTACCAAAAGGACATTTTGATTAAAAAGTCATGGCAGTGTGCAGCTTTGCTTACAGAAGCAAAGAGAAAGAAGGGAAGACTCTCACTGTTGAGCTAACTTCTCCCTTTGTATAGGAAATCAGAGACATAAAGGCCACCTATTGCATCTGTAAACTCCTTCATTGAGTCAACTCAGCTTTCTCCTTTCTGGTAGAACCTAGAACACTGAACAGTAACCAATCACATATTCTTGAGCAGAAAGCTAATTTATAGATAAGGAAGTTATGGTCCATTGGTTGTGCCAAGACAGCGTTACCTGCTTTTTAGAGGAAAGAGTAAAAAGAATTCTCTCAGAGTCTTACCCTGTGCCTGGCACTGACGCCTTTATATGGTATTCCCTCTGAGAAGCCATGAAGTAAGTTATCATTCTGTCCCTGCTTTATAGATGAGAAAACCAAGGCACAGAGATGGTAAGTGACTTGCCCTGAGTTGCACAGCTAGTAAGCGAGAGGACTTGGGTTTGAATCCAGAAATGATTCAGCCCAACCTCCCACCCACTCTTTTATAACATCCCTACCAGTTACCCACCCCTTCTAAGAATAAGCATTTCTTTTGAGTGGGATCTTACTCCTTTCAGATGCCATCTGCTTTCCTAATTTTAAAACAACCACAAAATGTGAACCGAAAGAGACTTTGCCATGACTGGGGGTGGGGAAGATCCGATGTTGATAAATATGAATGAGCATAATGACATTTCTGTGAACTTTAGCACCAACACACAGCAGATCAGGAATCAGTATGCCGTCATACAACGTATCTCCAATTTTTAACTCTGCCCAGTTCGATTTTAGATGGCTACTTTTAAAGTACAGGATTTCATCTGTATTCTTCTGGTTTTCTCAGAGTGTTGAGAATGCATGAAGAGCCCAGAAAGACATAGAAGAGGGAGGCCAAAGACTATGACATTACCAGCCTAAGAGAGCTGACCTTTATTCATTCTTTGTCCAGCTAAATCTTAGGTAGCTCTTGCTATGTTCCAAGCACTGTGCTAAACACTCAAGATCTGATGGTGGAAAGAGTAAACCATTCTGCCCTCAAAGAATTACGGTTTACTGAAGGATAAAGACAAGTAGAAAGGCAATTAAAATGCACATGGACAACAGCTACAATAAGGGCAGTGCAGTGCAGACTGTTACGGAATAGACGAGAAGCCGTGAGCCTGACCTTGGAGGTTGGAGCTGAGGGTAGGAAATGGCAGCCAAAGCTAACAGCAGGATGAAGAGGAATTAGCCAGGTGACCTGTGGGGGAGGCAGAGAGATTGGTCAGGGCAGAGAGAAGATGGTCCATCGAGGAACTTAAGTTTGGTAAGGCTACAAGAGCAACCGGCGAAAAGATAAAGCTAAGTCATGTGGGACCTTACACATCTTATTTAGGAGTTTCGGAAATGAGAACCGATTGAAGGACTTTATGCGTAAGACTGTTCCGGCCAACTTCATTTTTAAAAAATCACTGACTGCAGGATAGAAAATGAATTGGAGGGAGGACTAAGTCTAAAATCAAAGCGGCCTGTTGAGAGGACTTCACACTAATTCAGGCAAAGAGGACCGTGGCCTGGAACACGTCAGTGGCAGTTGGATTGAAGGAGGTGGAGGAATTTGCGAGTTTGTAGAAAACAGAAGGCAGGGCCTTGTAGATGATTATAACATGGTGGGTTGTTAAAGTCAAGGTCTCAGTAAACAAGTTGGAAGGTGTCCCTGTAGAGAAGCCATGATTATGCTGACTTTACTGTTATTACCAATGCTGATTGCCATTTCATGATTTCCTGTCTTTTCCTTTCAAACCAATCATTAAAGAGCCAACAGTTGAAGCTTTGAGAGTTTGTTCCCTTCCCTCCCCGATCTTCATTCCCATAAAATCACTCCTTAGACCCTGGTATCACTTCATTCTTTTCCACCCTGACTCTTCTCACTGACTCCTAAAGGCCTGAACAGGGCTCTATCCCATAGCATTTTGCTCTCAACCAACTGCAAAATATAGGATAGAAGCTCATGACGTAATCCTCCATTTAGTGTCAATTAATAATGCCTTCTCAGGCAGTAATCCTCCCATTAGCTGTTTGCATCTTAATAGAAGAGTAGTACCTGAGGCCTAATGATCTTAAAAATTAACCTCTAGTGGTAAAATTCCCATCACCATTTCGACAAATGGAAAAAATATTAAGGGAAAACATACAAGCATTTTCGGCGGCCTTTGGATAATGTTATTTGGTTGACTTTCTCGCCCTGGACGTCAGAACAGGTCTGCAGAGAAACAAGCAAGCAAACAAAAAATGTGAATAAATCCTGAGTTCCAAGAAATCTTTGCTAAATCACAATTTAATAAGCCATAGCTTAGCTGGGACCACTTGAGTTTCCTGGAATGCCATTTTCAAATCACTAGCCGCAGCCACTGGCCATGTATTTAAGGTAGAAACTGGAGAGCTTTCAGAATAATAGATCTTCCCACTCAAGATTCAGTCTACACAGCTGCCACTTTTTAATTCATCATAGTCTTGTAGCAAGATTACTGATTATAAAGTCTTGAAAAGAACAGCCAGGGATGGAGAAAGTGTTGGAATCAGTATTTCTTTAATGATTTAGGGATTATTGGCCATTCATTTTCAACTATTTGTAATTGAAGTCTCGAAATAATGGAATTTATCAGAGAAATGCCTCATTCACCCTTGTATAATTTGAACATACTGAAATGGCACATGTGGACTCATAAATCGTTTGTGTGCACAAAGGGGTAATATATCACTCTACCCCTCATTCAGCCCGTGCAGGGGGGAGGAACAGCATGGAAGTATGAATTATAGCTTACTAGACAGAATCCCATAACTTCACGTCTTACATTTCCAGGAGGCTTTTTTTATGTAACCTTCATATTATTTATACTTGCTGGTCATTCATGATAAAAGACACTTTTACCATGAGGTTTTTTTATCAAGGTTTTTTATTATTTATTTATCAAAACACTCACAAATGTTTTTTGACAAAGTCACTTTCAGGCAGTCAAACAAATCATTGTCCTGGACTTGGAGCAACCACCCTGTTGTCTACACAGTGTTTAATTAGGCTTATCGTCACTAACACACCAGTCAGAAATGATAAAACATGTTAAAATCAAATTCAGTTGTTTCTTTGTGGGTAGTTTTATGTGTAAAGCAAAGGCAGTGTAACTTCCTTTCTCATTCAAGCTTCGACAAGAAGTTTAGTTATTGTTTCTAACCACTGCAGAGCACACAGATTGTGTTATAAAGACAAACATCTGCTTTAAAGCATCAGTTTTCCAGAACTAATTCCTTTTGCTATTAAAATTACTTTCTTACTGCAAGTCTTTTGTATGTTAATTGAATTCTCAATCCACAGGGATTGATACTATATATGTCAGCCTGAGATCCTAAAATTTCCTGTCATAAGGGATGTTTGTAAAATATCACACATACTGTATGGATATCATGAAAAATGATCTATTTTATATAGTTTACATTTGCAGTTCACTTCCATTTTATTTTCAAGATGTCCTAGATACTTGCTTCTTGAAGTGTCCTTGGACCAGCAGTACCAGTGTATCTCAGAAGCTTGTTAGAAATGCAGATTCACATACACACACCCTTGAGCCTGTGTGGCTCAAGAAGATTTTCATGAGGTTGCCATCAAGCTGTATGATCTCATCTGAAGGCTCCACCCATGTGAATTCATTCACAGGGTGCAGGTTGGCTCAGGTTCCTCATTACATGGTCTTTCCACAGGCCACCTTATGACATGGCAGTTAGCTTTCCACAGAGCAAGCAATCCAAAAGGGCTTAAGAGAAAGAAAACATGTCCAAGATGGACATGGTCTTTTTATAACCTAACCTTGGAAGTGACATTCCATTACTTCTACCATAATATATTCAATAGAAGCAAGTCAGTAGGTCCAGCCAATGCTAAAGGAAGAGGCTTACACATAAGTGTGAATACCAGGAGGTGGGGCTCACTACAGGTTGACCACAGTTGTCGTTTTTCAAACTAGCTTTCATATTTTCAACATGTCTGTTTTGAACATGTATTGCTTGTGTAATAAGGAAATAAAAATGTTAAAACCAATAAAATTAAAGAGAAATTATTCTTTTATCAGAAATGTTAATCAAAACAGTCACTCCTGTTTGGAGCTTTCCTAGTAAGACAGTTGAATTGAGTGAGGACAGGATTTATTAATGACCCTCCTGGCCACATATTAGATTCATGTTACAGATTCATGTCATGAATCCAAGTCTGAGATCATTAACCTAACAGGGTTTTAGATAGCTTTCAAAATTTTGCACTGAAAAATTAAAATAGCAAACCCCCTAGTGCTAATGTGAGTCCATCCATCGTTCTCATTGCCTAACAGTCTCCGTGCTCTGTTCCCGACAGTATGCTCGAGAGCTCGAACCGGCTGGACGAAGAGCACAGGCTGATTGCCAGGTACGCGGCGAGGCTGGCGGCAGAGTCCACGGCGTCTGTAAGTAGTTTGAGTGAGGGGACGTCATGTTCATTGTGGATCTTACAGCTCGTGCTACAGCAGCAGAGCTCAAGAGTTGCTACTGTGTGGTCTGCAAAGCCTAAAACTGGTCTGCCTTCCGCTACTTGCATTCCTACCCTTTTCAGCTGTCATTCGGGTGGGACATAGATCATAGCTTGAGATAGTTTATTACAACATTGCTGAAACAGCCTAACACCTGATTTCTCTGGATAATTCCTGATCAGTTAATAGAAAGAGGAAAGCAATGACTGAGATCTACAACTGGCCCAGGTAAGTGTCTGCTTTTATCAGTGTGTAAAATATATCTGAGAAAGAAAATTGTGTGATGAAATCAGAAGAAAAGCCTGGGTCACAGGTCAGAGCTGCCATATGCCAGACTTAGCTATAGAAATCATTTAGGATATAAAAAGTCTTCATTAGCAACACAAATCATTTCTCTGTTAAAAGAAGTGCTAATTAAAAATTATAGAAAAGCTTTACGAAAGCCAGACCTTTACCACACCTAACCTTTCCTATAGTTATCCTTCCGGACATTGAAAAGCAGGCTGAGTTTCTTCATGTCTTTGGGCTTAGGCTATCAGTGTCATTTTAAAAAGCATGGCATTCTTTGGTAGAAAGATTAGTTGTGATATTTTAAATTTGTTTTAAAAGCAGTAAATATTGACATCAAGAAATTTCTAGAACATACTGTAGAGCAAAGAAAGCAAGGGAAGTGTACATAATCTGACCCTGTTTTTATAGAACAATGACAAATTAACCTCTGACTAAATACACACACACAGACACACACACACATATACACACATATATATGGTATATTATTACATATATGCATGCATACATGTGCATATAGACATATGATTATATATCATATATGTGTGTGTGTATTTAATCAATGATTAATTTGTATATAACATATATATAATTTGTTAGGAGTTAATTTATGTGTATGTATGTATATATAATTATATATATATATTATATATATATATATAATTTTATAAGAATGGGGAAAGTTATGACTGCATATACACCAGTTGTTAAAGCTGGTTGTGTGACCAAGAATGATGGGCTGGTGTGATATGAATGTGGAGGAAAAATTAAAATAGCAAACCCCCCTAGTGTGTGTGTGTGTGTGTGTGTGTGTGTGTGCGCGCGCGCGTGTGTACGTATATACTAAATTACATAAAAGAAATACTAAAAGTATGTTGACCAAAGAAAGAAAAGAAAGTCACATTAACTATGATTTTAAAACTATGAAATTTCCAATTGCACATTACAGTGGCCGAACATTAATTNCTAGTGTGTGTGTGTGTGTGTGTGTGTGCACGCGTGTGTACGTATATACTAAATTACATAAAAGAAATACTAAAAGTATGTTGACCAAAGAAAGAAAAGAAAGTCATATTAACTATGATTTTAAAACTATGAAATTTCCAATTGCACATTACAGTGGCTGAACATTAATTCTAGAGAGTATTACAACACTGACATATTTTTTCTATCCACCTATACCGAGAGGATAGCTGCAATGGGAACAGCATGACAAGAATGAAATAGCTCCCCAAATACTTCAAATCAGAAAGTTAAAAAACAATTTTTTTATGTTTTGTTTATTTGCCTGCCAAAGAATTCTGTTCTGCTTTATATTGCATAGATGTGCTCCAGATCCGCAGAAAAGTTGGCCCTCAAGAGAGGAATGGAGATTTAACGTTATATATTTGCCTTTTTTGTTTTGATAGAAATTGCTTCTTTTTTCTTGTCTGCACATCTCATGATTCCTGTTTTCTCAAACACACTTGGGTTCCCATTCCCAATATTAAATAGTGTAAACCACATGTTTTACAGCAGCCAACTCAGCAGAGAAGTGCTCCTGACATCTCCTTCACCATTGACGCAAATAAGCAACAGAGGCAGCTCATTGCAGAACTAGAAAACAAGAACAGGTATGGCTTCTCAGACGTGTTGGTTTCTTGATCATTGTCAGTTCATTGATAACCTGTAGTCATATTTTAAAATATCCATATTTTTTTGCCCTGTATGACTGTTTAAGAGCACATCTAGAGCCAGAGATGGTGGCTTCTGAGAAGCTAGTCTTTAGATTTTAGATCTTCAGAAGCTTCATGAGAAAATATACATATAGTTCAATGCAATTAATGTTTTCTCTCTAGGCAGCCTCACTTCCATTTTTCTGGCACACTTGTTTTTGTTAAGGAGCTGTCCAATGCAGAAGGACCTTCCTGAGTAGTAATAGAACGAAATTATCTCTGCCACTCAGAGACAAGTAGAAGGCTCTCCAAGAAGAGCCCCTGTAAGGAACCCAAGGTAAAAGAGACATTTGAGCTGTAGCACCATCACCCAGGTGTTCAAGCCAAATATCTCCATGTCCAGTCCATCCACAGGTCCTTTCTTTATTCAACACAGATTCACAGTCCACACCCACAGCGTATCCCCAAACTGTCTACTTCATCTCTGCCGTTACCACTCAATCCAACCTCCAGTTTACAAAACATAAATCATATCATGTCATTTCCTGTCCAGAACCCTCTGATGGGTTTCCATCACACTTTGACTAAACCCACCTCTTTTACCGTGGTCTGCAAGGTCTTATCTGACTTGATTACTGCCTGCCTTTCCAGCCTCAGCCCATCTTGCTCTTTACAATCCTGCTTCTTTCTTTCTTTATAACCTTTACACTATTGTTCTCTCAGCTTGGAAAGCTCTTCCTCAGGGTCTCTGCATGGATCGCGTCCTCTCATGATTCGGGGCTTAGCTCTAAAGACCACCTAGCTAACCTTGCCCACTACCTCCTACCCCAGGAACCACTCTCTATTACAGCCGTGTGTGTGGGTATGTGCATCTGTGACTTATCACTGTCTGAAATAATTGCACTTCTGTGTTTGTTTCTTTGTTTATTGTCTGTCTTCCCTGACTGACATGGAAGTTCTTTGAGAACAGAGGCCATGCCAAATGGCCCCTGGGTTCCAGAATTATGTCTGATATATTGTAGAAGCTCAGTAAATACAGATAGAGTGAGAAAATAATAAATAACTGAGTAAGATCTCAAATTCAGTGCTGATATAGCCCAACATAGGAACAACTTAGACATTTTATATTTCTTAGAACAGCACCAAAATGTCTCAACACTTAATCCCATTCTTAACACTGATGTCACTTCTGAGATCAAGCTGGTGAAAGAGGAGGTTGTGGTCATTGTTTCATGCCTGTAGAGTTTGACCTGAGAATTTTAGAATACATGGTCAAAGTATTCTTCAAAGTTATACAGAAAAAAAATTAAAGGGAAGATACAATTCAGTTGGTACGTTCTAATATTCTGAGAAAGAAAAAAGACAAAAGTGAAAACTCACAAGTCCACATATATTTTCTCTTGGTTGCAGCATTAACCTACTGTCCCATTTCTCCAAAGCACTTTGTTTTCCCTTCCAATCCTCTGCTTCCACTCAACATGGGGGTAACGTACTTGAAGGGAAAGAAATAGGGACTTCCTTCAAGGAAATGCCCCAGGGATAGAGGCCTCCATGTGGATTCCAGAATCGGCAGGAAGCACCATGAATGTCCTAAGGACCCTGGCTGTGCCATGGTACCACTCTTCCTGCTTGTTTCTGGGGCGTTTTTGGATTGTACTCTCTGAATGCATGTTTTCAAGACCAGAGAAAGAAGTGGAAATGAGATGGCAGAAAAAGAGCTCCACCCTGTTCCTGAGTACTTCCATGGCCCCTAGATCTCCCCACCCCATGCTGATGAGCACCTGGTTCACCTGGAACTTTCTCTAAGCCAGTGGCCTCATGCCCTCCAAAAACCCTAGAATGACATCACAGAAGGTTATCCAGGTCATACTTCTGCACCTTGGAAATTTACCCCAGGGGTCCCAGATTCTCCAACGTGACAATAACCCAATAATCAGGCCTCTGAACTTCAGGGGAGGGTAGAGTTTCTCACTTCACCTCATGACTACCGCGGGCAGTTCATGGACATTTCAGCAATGACCTTTAGAAAGTAATGATTTCTTATAGAACCCTCGGAGCAGCCATTTGGGGTTAGTATTTGCGGTAACAGGACTCTTCACATTACATTATAGAAGTCAGAGCCTGCCTCGGCTGGACCTGTCAGAGCAAGTACCACAGACTGAGGGAGTCTGATATGTATGAGCTTTGGAGCTAACAAGCCTGGGTTTAGGTCACCTCTACCACTCTTGTGTTATTGAACTTGAGCAAGTCTTTCAAATGGTCTGTGCTTTGATTTCCTCATTCATGAAAGAGAAAATCATAGTACCTATACATAATAGAATAAAATAAGATTAAAGAATACAGCATAGTTCCTCGATATAGACTAACCACTCAATGCTCACTACATATCTTACCATTATTTTTTTTATCAGAGCTGCTTCCTCCTTGGGCTGCAATGGCTCTGTCATGGTTCTGTCCTTACAACCAACAGGGAGAACTAGTAGGTGTGATAGACTATCAGGGTGTTAGCCCTGGAGGAGATCTTCAAAATCCCAGTACACTGATTTTCAGGCTGAGCTCTACGAGACCCTGGAGCCTCTGTAGAGGTCCCTAAAGAGGGGGCAGAAAGGACTAGGAGCATCCTTTCTTTGACATACTGGGTTTCCATGGAATATTTCTCTTTAAAGGTTTTCACCATGGAACACAAAGGGGGACCAAAAAAGATTGAAAACTGTTGAATTATATAGTCCAACCTTCTCACCATACTCATGAAATATATAGTGACTGGTAATTAGCTTCTTGATGTTGGCGTGTTGGTGAAGCAGACAGTTGTAAATCAGCTTTTCAGATAGAAAGCCATCCCCCTTGCTCACCAAGTTCACCTTCCATTCTTGGCGCTTTTTCCATCTTACTGGCTCTTGTGCATTTTGTTGAGTGGGAGACTGACCCCCTCCCCCAAGAATATATGACTTGTTACCTTGCTAATGGCTTCTAACTCACTTAGGGATAATTTGCCTTACACAGGTTGCCCATCTTTTATGGTCGGCCTAATGTTCACCTCAGTGCAGGGCAGCCCAGGCCCCAACATCAATAACAGACTGACATGTTTCACCCCTGACAGAGGTCACACCAAGAGCACTCTTATGTCACAGACTCAATTACAGTGAATCCCTTTAAAACCACTTTCCTTCTAAGGCTACTCACACTGAGATCTATTGTTAAGGCTGAAAATGTTAAGAAAAAGAAAGAATTTTGCCTAACCGTGGCCTCCTCAGATAAATTCAGTAAGAGGAATTTCATCCAATGAGCAAATGGGGTTATTTAGTTTTGTGAAATGAGCTCCATTTATTCTCATTTCCCCTCCAAGCACCTCTTACTTGGTAGCTGCAGTTACTTTATGGTGTCAGTATGATCATAAATAATAGGAAGATACATTTTGTCTCTTTAGTAGTGCTCTTTTCAAAGCTGAGCACATTACCATGGCATTATATTCCCTACTAGAGAGATTAGTAGGCCCTGGTGAGAACAGTCAGTTTGAAGGCTCCAACGACATACTGCAGAATGCTCGTGGTTCGGATATACTGGAGAGGAAGTCAGAAAGCTCTCTCCACAGCAGCCAGCTAGCTACAGCCCACACCTTATAAACACAGTTGGTTTAGTGAGAGTTAGTTCTGCCCAGAAACATAGGATGACCCCTTCTTGGCTCTGGTGGCCCTGATCTGCTCTGCTCAGATGTTAGGTCCTGGGTACTCTGAGAGTTAACTGACCCTGGTTTCTTACCTTCCTCCTCTCTCCCAAGAGAAATCTTACAGGAGATCCAGAGGCTGCGGCTAGAGCATGAACAAGCTTCTCAGCCCACTCCAGAGAAGGCGCAGCAAAACCCCACTCTGCTGGCAGAGCTCCGGCTCCTCAGGTAAGACAGGGAGCCCGAGGCATTTCAGGGATAAGGTGCTTGAGATCGCCGATAAAGTCTCACAGTGTCTACCAGAAACTGGTCCTTAGCCAGCTCCTGACCTTCGTTTGTTTTTTAATTGTGCATATCTAATTGCTGATATTTGGGGTTTGGGGGAAGAAGCTGTTTATATGTTATTCTTTCATTTGATACAGAGAAAAGGAAACAGTTCTCTAGGTTGGAAACAAAATCTCTTACTGGAAAAAGTTTAACTCAGATCTCTTTAGTTATTTGCACCATCAACAGTGCGTTTATGATACAAGTGATCAAAACATTTTTACATTTAAAAATTTACCTGTATCTCATAAAAGGGAGTCTGATTTTCTCTAAATCTGGGTCCCTAATAGCTTTACTTATAGACCTTAAGAAATGGACCCCATACCTTCTTGTTCTGCAATTGAGTTAAAAGACCTGGGCTTACCTACTTTGTCATCATAAAGCATTTGAGTTGGAAAGGACCTTAGAAGGTCATCCTGCTCAACCCCTGAATTTCAGTGCGCCTCTTAGAGTTGGAAAGGTAAAAAGCAGCAGGATGTGGATGAGGCTGGCAGTGGCTCCCTCTGCACCCACGGGCGAGAGGAGGCCATGCCTGGGCTCTACATCAAAGTGGCTTCCCGCCATGCCTTGAGTATGGCACATACTTAAACCTATTTGTGTGGCAAACAAAACAAACATAAATTCATCGCCATAGAAATGTCATATTTCACTAGGTACTTTCAGTTAGCAAGTATAGCATAGTTTCCATCTTCCAGTTTGGGTGCCAAGGATATTCCAGGTGTATCTAACACTGAGGCATACTTTTTAAGTATAGTCATGTGCCTCATAATGACATTTCAATAAACAATGGGCCACGTATATGACAGTGGTCCCCTAAGTTTATTATGGAGCTGAAAAATTCCTGTTGCCCAGTGATGTCATAGCCGTCATAATGTAGTAGTACAGTGCATTGCTGGTGATGCTGGGGCGAACCCACTGAGCTGTCAGGCGTGCCAAAGCATGTCACATGCAATTATGTATGGTACATAGTACTTGATAATGAGCGACTATGTTACTGGTTTATGTATTTACAGTACTATACTTTCTATCACTTTAGTGTATATTCTTTCTACGTATAAAAAAAGGTTGCTGTAAAACAGTATGGCGTGTTACGCCAGCAGCAGCCTCATACATCTTGTGTTTACTTTGTCTCTCGATTGCATCATTTTCTCTTGTGCTTGATTTAATCTCGTGCTGTTTTGTACAGTGACATGCTACAGAGGCTTGTAGCCTGGGGAAAATAGGCTGTCCATATGGCCGGGGTGCGTAGTGGGCTAGACCATGTAGCTTTGTTAACTGTACTCTGTGACGTTGACACAACAACAAAATCGCCTAATGATGCGTTTTGCAGAGCACATCCCCCTTGTTAAGTGGGACTGGAATATACCGATGCCTCTTTTCAGAAACCCTTGTCAGAATTACAGGGCCGTGTACCTTCTCCATTCAAAGAGACTAAATTAAGCAGGCTCTGTATGGCTGTTTGGAGTTTCTGGGGGTTCCACTCTATCCCTGCTTTTCGGACATGTGGACATCTGAGCACTGCAGCACCCCTGGCCCAGGCCGCAGGACCTGCCTGCCCTCGGCTGGGATCCAGTCTCCCCAGGCCCGTGCACCTGGCTGGAGGGACCGACCCTCCAAAGGCTTGAGTTATGGAAAGCGGGGCTGCTTAAAGTATAAGAGCACATCATATTTTAGAATAACAAAATAATTTGATGGAAGAAGAGAAATTCTTCTTTTTCAACCTACGGGATTTCTGGTCCTACCTTCAGAGAGGCGTATTGGAAATCCTTGCACAAGCTCTACCCCGTCACCCAGAAGGGGTGAAAATGAAAAGAAGGGTGCAGTGATGTTTCACATCCTCCTCGTCCTCAAAGGCATATAAAAGGAAATGACTGAAAGTATCTTTCACCAAGTAGGATCGTGTAGGCCCTCCAAACTCAAAAATTAAAATTAAGTTTAATATGTATATGGAAATATAACGTAATAAACCAACTTGGACACAGAGTGGTGATTCATCTACACATCAGAGTACTTTTTCACTGCCTGAAATGTTCTTTAGGGTGTCCCCAAAAAAATGTATACACACTTTAGAACTGATTGCTCAATTGATGTTTCTTTCTCTTCATATTTAACCCATTGGAATTAATAATTATTCAAAGTGTGTGTACATTTTGGGGGGACGCTCTGTATATACCTCTTCTACTGGTTGTCCCATTCTCTACTGGAGGAATGGTGACTAGGAATTTGTCATTAGCATTTTCATCAATTCCCACCAGTTAGCATTTGCTTTCCAAAGTATTTGGTTTCATTTGAATAATACAGTCTGGGAAGGCATCTTGATGGGCCTGGGTCACTGTTGATGAGTTTTCCAACTGACAGTTCTTACCTCTGGCCCTGACTTGTGGGCATTCCCATGGCCCCAGCTGAACCCAGAGCTACACAAAGGAGCCTGGCTCTGCAAGAACTCATGTAGTTCTGGCCCTCACTGTGGACTGGTGCCCCACACCTGAGGCTTGAGGCCTGAGACACCTAAACCCCAGCTGATTTGCTTTGCCTGCCTCCATAGTCTACAGATATCGTCTGCCTGGAAGAAGAAGAAATACCCTCCCTTTAAGATTACTTCTCTAGATATTTATAAACCACTTATTCTGTGCTAAGCACTTTCACAATTTGTGGATTTCACAGATATCCTGACATCCCAGGTTAAGAAACCCAGTTCCGGGTGCTCTAAGTTTTATTCTTTAGTCATTTCAGTCTTTGAAAGCACACCAAAAAAGTCACCTCTTGCGTAGTTACTTTGTCCTTCGCTCACATTGAGGGGTAGCCATGTGAAACAGCCACAGAAACTCCTTTTTGTAGTTTTGATAGAGGTCTTCTCATTCCATTACTTCCTTCCCAGGGCCTTTTGTTGAGAAACCAACAGGAGAAAGTTCTTTTAGCTCTGGGACAGGAGAGGGGAGAAAGCAGCAGAGCTTTGCTCCTCATGAACTCATGGTGTATTTTTGTCTTAAGAGCACGATGATCTTTCTAAATGATCTTACTTTCCTTTTCACTTTAGCCACAAAAAAACTGAAAGCCAAGTTTGCAACTCAGATCCAACAACTGACTAGGATTGTATGAGAGGCATTTCTGTGAGCTAATCTCACACTTCCTATGCACTATTCACTGTTCCATATAATTGTGGTGACAAGCCTGGGAGATGGGCACTATTGTACTCTTTTTATGGATACAGAAGCTGAGATTCACAGAAGTTAAATAACTTGCCCAAGATCCTGCACAATAAATAGCACAGGTGGATTCCATCTCCTTTTCTTGGGTCTTAATTATGTATCTCCTGCCTGAACTACTATAAGGAGCATTTAATTGATTCTCAGCCTCTGGTCCATCTACACTGCTATCAGGTCAGAATTATCTTTCTGCATTTTATTATTCATTTAATTCATTCAATGAATACTTCTAAAATGCAGTGTGCCCAGAACTTTTCTCATCACAATACCATGATGAGTTGGAAAAGATACTGTGTCTGGTCTCACAGAATGTGTGGCCTAGTAGGAAAATGACATAAGTCAAATAATCACACACATAAGATAATTATAAACTGAGATAAGTGCTATCAGGAATCTTCCTTTTGAAAAAAATTATCAAACCTGCACTTTCCTGGAGTCAGAAAGGGCTACCAGAAGGAAGGATTTTTTGTTGAAGTATGAAGAATGGAACATAGGGAATCGGGATTAAGGATGGGGGTGAGGTTGTGGGACAGCTGGGTCCTCCTGTAAAGCACAGGCTATATGTACAAAGACCAAAAGGCAGGAGAAAATTTGGAACTTTTTTAGGAACTAAAAGACCTGTAGGTTTAGAGTACAGTGAATGAAGGGATACATGGTAAGAGATGGAGCTCAAGATGTAGGTAGGGATAGATCATGATTCCGTGGTCTTTCAGAGCATCTTAAAGCTACCGCTATTAATCCTTCAACAGGAAGCCGAGAGTTACATTCGATTGTCAAGTCAGACTCCTATGAACCAGAAATCTTACTCCAGTATTGAGCTTTACTAGTAATTTTAAAAGTACAGACAACTAAGAGACACAGATGAAGCAGAGAAAGGTGCGAAACATTTCACATGGTTCCCAGGGTCTTTCCTTCCCACATTGGATGTTGCTTCTCAGGGAAATTTTGTAAGGTGAGCTAGTGAGTCCTCCCTAAACTTCTACAACTATATAGAACTGCCCGTATTCCTCTGTGTTACCATATATAGCAATTTGTTCTTATTTTTATTAACACTCACCATCATTGTTTTGAACTTTTTCATGTCTCCTGACATCTCACCCAAGGACAAAAACTGTATCCTACTAGTTATTTTATTTACAGTATCTTAAAACTAAAGTGCCGAATAGATGTTTGTGGATTGAATGCATAAACTGCAGAACCATTAGGAGACAGCTCAAGAACTATGCACAGATAATGCCATCTTCTGTAATGAAGAGAACATTTCTTAACACTGTGAAACAACTAACTTCACACCACAAATCTCAAGAAAAACAAGTATCATTTTCCATATCTATCCCTTGCCTAAAAAATAAGCATCGTATTATATGCTCCCAAAATTGCACTCTCTTCAAAGTATATAAAATTATTCTTTGTGACAACCTGTTAATATAAAGTGACTTTCTTTGTTTGACCAATTAAAATGGAATTGTAATCTCCGATGCAGGTCTGTGGTTTCCAGACATGAATTTCATAGACCAGTTTAGTTTTTTAATTGTTTCTGGCAAACAACAAAAACATGAGTACTTTTTTTAAAAATATGTCTTTATTGATTTCCAAGAGAGGAAGAGAGAGAGAGAGAAACATCAATCACGAGAGTCATTGATCTGCTGCCTCTTGCACGCCCCCTACTGGGGATCGAGCCCTGACCTGGAATCCAACCTCAAAGTCCTGGGTCATAGGCCGACGCTCAACCGCTGAGCCACGCCGGCCAGGCAGTTGGGTACTTTTTGTGCACCATATAATGACATTTTTTAAAACTTCCATCATATGTTGTCACAACAGTTTCATGAATGATAGTATATGTTTTAATTTTTATTTTGAACAAACTTTAAGCCTACAGAAGAGTTGTAAGAATATAACAATGAATTTTCTTCTGTTTCACCTACAGATTGCATACATTTTACCACATCCTTTCCTGTCTCCATATAGATACATATATGTTTATATATAAATTAAATGTGCACTTTTGATGAGCCATTTGAGAGTAAGTTGCTGACATCATAACCCTTTACTCCTGCATATTTATGTGCATATATTTCCTAAGAAAAAAAGATATTCTCTCATATAACAATGGTCTTATTATTGAATTCAGGAAAGTTAATATTGATATTTATTATTATCCAATATGCAATTTATATTAAAATTTTGCCTATTGTTCCAAGACTGTCCTAAAAGAAAGTAAGTTTTAATGCACATGCAAAACTAGAGATAACCTGACAGCATTTCAGAATAAAAGACACTGTTTTAGAGATGAATATATTTACCTCTGTGAAAATGAAATCACTACTTAGTTCTTGTTTTCTAATTTCTCCTTGGAACAGCAGAAGCCGCACTACAGATTTGTTATCAGACCCACGTTTGGCAATCACTGATGTAGATACTTACAGAGAATATTAAAGACATTATTAAATGAATACTTTTTTAAAAAACTGAATTCAATCAAATGCATGAAAGAGTAAATGTCATGTTTTGAAAGATGACTACTTCAAGATAAATGTACAAATAAGTTTTTTTAATTGTGATTAATTCTAAACTAACAATAGTTAACTTTTTCTGATAGCTCTTAGATGCCTTTCTTAGTATTTCTTGCCTACGATATTAGAATTCTGTTTCAACCTTCTTTTCAAAGTGTCCCTATGACCAAAAGGCCAAAAATTATAGAGCACTATCTAGAAGAGAAATGGAAATAAATCAGAAATATTATTTACCCTTCTACAAAGCCCTCCTGTTGGATGTATTCTGAACACCATGAACAGACAAGGTCGAAGGAAAAACAGCTAATAGATTTGTCATTGAAGAATATTTTTGAATGAGGCAAGATTTTCAAAATTAGAATCTGTAGTCCGGGAAGACAAAGGCTGAAATAAGATACCATTCAAGTCTATAAAATTATGATATTCCTTATCCACAGGATTCAGAAAAGAGGCAATTGTTAAGGAAATCAAAGGAAAGATTGCTCTGGTAGTAAGCCTTAAGTGGCAATAAAAGCTGAAAATATATTCTAAAAGGATTGAGATGTGTTTATAAATTTTAAATTCATCATTCATTATAGAGTAAGCCTATATGAAAGCAAATTAGATATGTCTCATTTATATCTATAACCTGTCCTCCCACAAAATATCTTTCAATTGGTTGAGCCATTGACCAAACTCAGTATGACATTTTTATATTGTCAGTTTTTATTTCAGAGCCCCTGCTATAGCTCCACTTAATATTGTGTCTATGCCATTGAGAATAGGCATATCCATTCCTACATTAATGCATATATGGTTAAAACATCAACAAATTTTTCAAATATGTTTCAATATTTCAAACACAGAGAAGCCTTTGGGGCAAGAAAAAATGTATATATTACTTATTCACTAATGGTCATAAAATAGTCAAATTGAAATTGATTTGAAAAATATACATATACCTCAGAAATGTGAACCATTAATATTCTTCATACTGTTTCATTTATTTCCCCCTCTTGAAGATATTTTTGATGCCTCTTAGTGTCAGCATCAATGATAAGAGTTTAGATTGTCCTTTTTGGTTTCCATTCTTGCTGACAGTTTAATAGTTCTACAAAACAAAACAAAAATTAAACAAAGACAAACCATGTAAATTATTTGCAGTTAAAACAATTATGTAGGAATTTCTTTATTCTGACTTCACTTTATGAAATGAAACACAAACCAAAAAATTTAGATTAACTATAATAACTATGCACCATTAATATTTGACCTCTGAAAGGTAGGTACTGCTTTCATGCTAAGGATGGAAGAGATGAAAAATGTACTTTTCCAAATCCAATTTCCAGATATTAAGGTAATGAGTATTTTCTGTGAGATTTACAAAAGGGTCTTTGGGTTTGGAGGATCTATGGGATTGACCTTTTTCGGTGATGATTTGGTTTTTGTTTCTTGTGTCAAGGAAACCCAATGGCATAGCACAGGGGCCATGACATAGTAAGCATTCAGAAAAGATTTCATCAACTGGCTAATCCAGCATAGAAGGAAGTGTCTAAAGGATTTTAATTCTGTTTTAGTTTTACTTCTAACAAATAAATGTACACCTCAAGCTGTAATTGTTCAATCATTGGACATTTCCCTACCTAGTAACCATGTCAAACACCCAGAGATGCCCTTGTTCTGGTGGTCCACTAGTCCCACAAGATTGGGAAATGTGATTAACTCGGTGAGTTGAATGCTGTTTCTGATGACAACTGCTTCTTTCTCAGACAGCGCAAGGATGAGCTGGAACAGAGAATGTCTGCTCTCCAGGAGAGCCGGAGAGAGCTAATGGTCCAGTTAGAAGGTCTTATGAAGCTACTAAAGGTAAGACGTTGGCATTTGTAAAAAATTTTTGCATGTGATATGCATTAGTTTTTACAATTACTATATGTGATTTCCCCAAAAATGTGGTTTTAAATTCAGATAAAGGATCTTTTCTTAGATACATCACATGATAGCAGTCAATTATAGGGCTTATTCTTATCCATTTTCTGGAACCAGACTACTGAGGACCTTAATGGAACAGCTTCTTCTTGGCTTATTTCCAGTTTCATATGTCTTTAGAAGTAATAAAACTGGATTTATTTAGAAATATTTTACTTTAATAGCTTTCAGTAGTTCTAACTAAACAGAACAGCAGTTAATGCCTAATTCATAAAATGAAGATATAGCAGTTAAATAGCCTTGGTGGTAATAGTTTCATTAAAAGGAGTAACTTTATTAATTTCAGTAAAATTTTTTATCTTACCTGTGTGGCTTTAGCAGCAAGTCACATAAGTTCTATGGGTCTCAAATGCAAACTGTAAGTGAAAATATCTCCTTACTTTTTTTTTAATCCTGTTGCCTGAGAAACATTAATCCCTTAGGCCAAAAAGAAGTTCCTGAACAAATCTAGTTTCATAAAGTTGAGCTTTTTAAAAAAATTTTATTGACCTCCTTACTTTTCTGAAGGTAGAGTTTAAAATGATGATCTCTAGAAGTCCTCTGCAGAGTGCTGCAATCTATTACTTTATTGGGAAGTGACAGTCTTCCTTTCATAAACCCTTATTCCCGTTTTCAGTGTACACTCAGTCACATTTTAAGTTGAAAGTAGGCTGCTGATGGCCACATGCCCATAGTCAGCCCAGCAGAAGTGTCAGTGCTGTGTGATCATCCCTCCTGAGATAAACAAGCATGAAGCAGTAGAACTGAAGCTGTGACATGCCAAAGGCAGGGACTAGAACTGATAAGATGACAAAGGCGCAGTCCCTGGGGCAGCTCACTGTGACACAAGATGTCCTGACTTTTGGTCCTTGGACCCCTCACATCCCTGACACACCACCACTTACTGTTTCTGGATTGTTCTTTGCTCCCTCCCTCCCTTCCTTCCTTCCTTTTATTTAACAAATGCTGGTTGAGACCTACTGTGTCCCAGGCACTGCTACACATTAACACTTTTTTCTTTCGTTTTTCCTTCTTCTTTTTTATTCCTTAGTCGACTTGTCCTGCCACCAGTGTTGGGAATGCCTTACCTTAGCCACACTGCTCTCAGTATGTTAGGCATGTAAAGGGTAGAATTCAGCGTTTGTTGTCCTAGATATGCCAAGGCAGGACTAGATCATTAATAGCCTACTGCTGTTTCTGGCCTGTTATCTCATTTGATGATCCAGAAAAGCTCTTTCTGCTTTCCTTTCCAAATATACCAAATAAAGGAGGTCGAGCCCACCTTCCCCTCCGCCGAATGGCAGGCAGCTTTGAAAGCATGCCGTCTTCTGTCCCGATAGCCTCTGTCGCCACAGCATGGGGGGAGCCCCTTTACCCCCGGCCGTGTTGGCGGCCGGCTGAGCAGGCCAGGGTATCAGGAGGCGCAAACGCAGGACAGAGAGATCGTGTTGACAGATGGTTGGACGCGGGGAGAAGAGAGATGGGTCTAGACTTTCAAACCCCTACCCAGACTTAGCCGTGCAGTGACTGAGGTAGAAGAGACCCGCCCCGCCCTCCAGCTGTGTCGCTGTCCCCCCCTGCATCCGTCACCGTGCGCGGGCTCCTGCTGGAACCCTGGGTAATCTAACTGTTATTGGTTCCATCTTTCTGTAGGAAGAAGAGCTGAAACAGGGAGTAAGTTATGTTCCCTACTGCAGGTCTTAACTAACAGTGGAGGGGCCTGCCGTCCTGCTGTTTCTCTCATTGCTTTTGCCTCTAATGTATGTTCATGCTTCCGTTTGGAAAGAGAAAAAAAATCATACTAATTTGCTACCTTTTCAATGTAGTGCTTGAATTGAAATATATTAAATTTAGCATTTTTTATAACTATTACTACCGTCGGCATCAGAAGAAGAGCTATTACATCCTTGAGAAGAGGGAACAAGTTATAATTTGTTGGACATTTTTTAGATCCCCTGGGGTCTAAATTTCAGACCAGTCTCATGCTTTTCTGGGTTGTTGATCAAACCCTTTTCTTAATAGAAAGATGCCCATCACGGCCACTCAAGTTACACTAGGTAAAACCCACACACGCAGAAGCTAACCCTGACATCCTTCGATGCTGTGAATCTCCACACAGTTCCCATTGTACTGAAGAGATGTGGAACCTCTTTTTATAAAAATTAGCCAATTACCTCTCTTCCTGTTACATCATTATGAAGCCCCAACTCCCCACTGCTCACCAAATGTGCTCAGTCTTCAAGAGAATGTCTGCATCAGCCATTGTTCACGCCCCAGCATTTCGTTTGTCCCAAGCAGAATCTCTACTGTTGGTTGACAATAATCTCAAAAGAATAAGTAACATTCAGCCTTTCTTTTATCACTGAGAACCTTTCTACTCTGGGAGTTCTCAAGGTCCTCACATACATCTCTAGAAATAGGGGCATTATGACTCTTAACTGTAGCCTAAACTGAAATCCTGTATCTGACCCTGTGGTCAGGTTCAGAAGCCAGCAGAGGGAGCAGCGTACTCAAAAAATAACACTAATAATAAACTGGAAGCAAAATAAAAGCAGCTTTCATTTCAAGTGCATGTACCAAGCTATGGATGACAATATATCCCACCCTCCAGTGTTATCCAAAAGTTTCACATTCTTTCCATGGATTAGTTAGAACTACAGCCTGTCCGATTTCAACCTACCTTTTAATTCTTCTGTATTCTCTTTCCTATTATTCATTGTGTGTGTTTGTGTGTAACAAAGAATGTTTGCAAAATGCTGGACATATTTCTACCCTTTATTCCCCTGGTCTGTAAAAAACAAAAACAAAAAAAAAAGGAAAGTGTAAAACTAATCTGTAATGTCAGACAATAAAGATAATGTATTACGTTATTTTGTATTTTGTGAAAAAAATTACTTTACTAGTCCGATTTTAATGAGAGACAGTGCCCCTGGGTGAAGGGGACATTGACGGCCTGTGTAATTGCCCATAAATGCATACGCGGGGTGTTGCTATGTACTCCCAGCACACTTAGATCACGGCAGAGAAAAACGCCTCGCTGTGGCACTTCTCTTTGCAAGCAGCCTCCTTTCTTTCCTTCTCTTACTTAGCATGTGCATAAAAAAAGGAAGTAAGGGTCCGATATAACCTTCCTCCTCCTGGTAGCCAGTCAGCCTTCCTCTGTGCAGCTCCCTCTGGGACTCCTCTCCCATTTCCCAGGCAGCGCATCCTGAAAGGGCTCAGTGGCCTGGGAAGTTCATGAACTGATGGATGCGGAGAGCCAGGAAGCTCATAAACAGGTGGATGCGGGGGCCAGCCCACGGCAGTGCCACAAGAGCATCGCTGCCTCCTCTCGCTCCTGCTCCCCCAGCTGCTGCATCCTTGAAGACCAGCCAGCAGTGGGACTGCTGCGTAGGTCCTTCAAGGCCATTATTGGTAACACCCAGATGTCAGCAGTGCATTGTCTGGATGGGGGGAGAGTTTGCCTGTCTTACTCATTTATTTGCTTTGATGCTCAAGCCTCTTTTTTAAAAGGACCCGAAGCAGCTTACAACAAACAACATAAACAGTGACTTCATAAAGTAGATAAATTTTTTTAAAACTAAAGGAAAAATGCAAATATGCTAATTATAAGGGACAGGAGTATTATTCTGAGCTTTCTGACAATGAGGCAAATAAAGGAAAACATAACTGGTGGTTTTATCAGAACAGAGACACTAGTTCTCAGGGGACCAAATTTCTGTTGGCATAAAATATAAAAAGAAAGCCTTCACTTAGAGCTTTATAAGAGAACTGAAAAATTAAATGGACAAATACAATAGTAGCTTTCATATGACTATTTCTTATGCTGACCTTCAGTCAAAAACACAGACAGAACCCCACATGTCCCAATCCCGTAGAGGCAGTTCTTACAAGGAAATAAACAAATGCCATGCAAATATATTGACTTCTCACAGTATAAAAAGATCTAAGGGGAGAATTTAGAGGTTTTAGTCTGGCATCTGCTTCTAAATTCTGTCTTTATTTATAAACCATTCCCCTTTGGGGATGTTCTCTTTGTAAAATCAGATTTAAGACACTGCACACAACAAATTGTGCTGATTCAATAACCTCTACTTGCTTTATCAAAAGTCTGTGTGGTTCAATGTATTTTATTATTACTGGTATATATAATTCCTACTTATACTGTTTCTTGTTAGAGGTAATGCATGAATTTATTCCCCTCGAGGAAAGAACATGAATTTTTTTTAAAAAAAAATAGTGCCTGTAATATAATACAATGATTATGATATGAGAAGCAATAAATTTTTTTTACAAAACTTGAATCGAAATTATCCTACCCTCTTTCTTTTTTGTGTATATTTAAGATTTATTGAAGGCACCATAAAAAAAAAAAAAAAAACACTCATAAAAAGTTTAATAATGAAGGCAGCTGGGGTATAATCTCAGTGACGGTATGTTCCAGAGTTTCCGGTATACTTCCAGCTCCAAATACTGTGTCCCAATCTAAAACCAAGCATCCTCACTTTGAGTTCAGAAAGTAAGGTCTCAATAATAACTTCTTAGAAATACTACTGGAGTTAGACCTGAATAACAGTAATAGTGGTCCCAGCTCTTCTCCTACAGTGGAAGATCTTGAGTAAGTTAATTAACTTCCTGGTAACTTATTTCAAACATACTGATAACACATGGCTCACCAGGTTGTTGTATGACTTTTAAAATATGATGTGCAAGCACTTTGGAAAATACCATATGCGTGTCAGATATAAGTATGAATGTATGTGTATATGCACACAAATACACATGGATATATGTAAACTTTCTAATTCCACCCATACTTCACATGCACACACACACATTCACGCATTCACTTTCTTCCTTACAGTTAACTCACAGTGTGCTAATCAGGGGAAGAAAGTCAAACATCATTCTAAATGTCATCTTCTCCTACCATTCTCCTCTCTATTTTGCAACTGGATTGCTCAATTAACTCAGGAAATCAGTCACTCAGGTTCCTGCTTCTTCCAAACATGCTATGGAATATGAACAGGCCAGAAATAAAAAATGTTACCAGCTTAGATTCCTCCTTTCTCTATTTCCCGTGTTCTTCCTCTCTAGTGGGTATTCTGTGGGTTAATGAAGCAATCAAGGGGGGGGGCATGGACAATTCTTATCATAACTAATCAACTGCAATATAAGGGCTAACATCTAGGGTTCAAAACATACTCTCCCCGAGTCTTTCTTGCTCTCTCTCTCTCTCTCTTTCTCACACACATACACACACAACACACATCCTTTTTTAATATTAGGGACTGGTTAATTCCTTCTAGAAAAGTAAAAATTAGTTCAAGATAAAATCTAGCCTTTTTTATAACATTGGAAGCCCCCAAACCTGGCTCCACCCCCTTCCCAGCTTCATTCTGCCCACTCCCCACAGTGAACCTGGTGTTTTAACCACACTGACCCCCAATTCTGTCTGCAATATCCCTCACACTCATGGTACTCCAAGGTCTGAATGCTTCTCTCTTCTTGCAATACTTTCTCTTTCCTCTTTTCTGCCTGGAAATCTCCACTATTAAGACCCAAGTCCTGTGATGCCTCCTGCCTGACAAGTCAGAGTCAGCCACCTCATCTGTGTCCTCATAACACTCTGTACACAACAGTCCCTATGATGACAATCAGTGACCGTATATTGGGAGAAAATATGCAAAGAGGGTTGAAGGTAGCTAAATGCTGCTCTGCTCTACCTTCCCAGGCTGCTAAGTAAAACCTGACTAGACTGTATTCTCTGCCAAGCCTGAGGTAGACTTTTCAGGTTGAGAGGAGGGGAGACATAGTGCCGCCCACTGACGCCTCATGGCCATCCTCTGCCATCTCTCCAGACAGTGCTGGTTCCGCAGTTAGGCATTCGGACCCTTCCTTGAAGCACCCCTCCTTTCTGGTGCTGAGTGGAATCCAAAATACTTCCTGGGGAAAAAAATAGAAAATTTATGGATCTTGTCAGACTTTAAAAATTGATACAACAGCAGGTTGAGTGGACTCAGAGGATGGGGTGTAGAAATGAATTTTTCATTTATTCTCTAGGAAGAGAGCTATTTTAAATTTTCCAAGTATGATGTATGTTTTCCTCCTTCCATAAATCAACTCCCTTCTCAGGAATTTTAGATCTATATATTGATCTGCATGGACCATGGTCCCTTAAGTCTTTGCTCCATTAATCATCGAGTAATTTCCAGGAAAAGATATTCACAGATTGTTCACTCTAACTCTTCTAAAGTTGTTAGCAGACAACCATGCTTCATGACTAGGCCAGGGGCCACCATTCTATAGAGGCCACTCCCGAGATCTGTTCTGCGGATCTACCCCAATGCCAACAGGCACCAACTCTCTCCTAGTGGCCCTACAAGGACAATAGAAAGAAAGGCAGAGCTGGCCTTCTCAGCAGTAGGTCCTAGGAAGGTACTACACATCAGACTGGACACTGTCCTCACAAGGAGACATTGGGTCAAGGAGCCAGGGTCCTACGCCCAAAAGTCTGGGTAAAGACTGGACAAAACTTGGGTGTTTCTAAGTGCAGGAAAGATGCCGCTGAATCTTTTCTTCAGCACAGAATCTTCCACTAAAATCCTTCACATAATCAGACTGCTTGAAATTGCACCAATTAGAGATTCATTTGGGAGATAGGTGCAATTAGTCATTCACACATTGGTGTAATTTAGAGTCGGCCAATTGTTTTTCCCTTAATGCATAGCTACAGTCAATTATTTTTCTCTTAACACAGAACCACGAAAAGGAGTTTAGAAGAAAGGAAGCAGGCTGAAAGAAGCAGGGAAAGTTGGCCTTGGAGACCAGGCGTTAAGCAGGGAGAGGTAGGGCTGGGAATGCCTCAGACAAGCACAATGAGCGGGAAAGCTCAATGCCTGAGGAGAAGGGGGGAACTTTGTCAGAGGTAAGGGACTCACAGTTAGGAAGGGGAGAAAGGCCAGGTGTAGTGCCCAGAGGGGAGGGGGCAGCCCCACGAGCACCCCATACTGGAGAGCCTGGTGGAACAAGTGTAAGCAGGGCTGGTGTACAGTACAACTACAGTGTAGCCATTAAAATACTGAAATGCAGGCCCACAGCCCTGTATCTGAAATGTTTCAGAATCTTTCCAGTTTTAAAAATACAATACAGTGCAGATACCATATAAATAGCCTCACATCAGTTATGAAACAACATGTGTTGCTTTTTGGATTTCACATTTGCAGATAAGAGATTGTGGTCCTGTATTTCTGTACTAATTGAAAAACTCACATGGCTCCCCATGATCCAGCAACTAAAAGATTATTACCTGGCCCAGCAGGAAGCCCTAGGCCTCTGCTCCAACACAATTCACTGTGTGTTGTGCCTTCTCAGCTTTCTGGGTGCTAAACCTTTCTACATTAGTGAAGCCTGGATGGAAGCATGTGACAGCTGGTCACAGTGCCCACAATCCTGAGAAGCATCTGTGGTGTCATGGGGAAACCCTGCCTGGCCTTGTAAACTAAAGACTGGGGATTTATTTCATCTCTGCCATTCACTAGCTCAGAGATCTTGGGTAACCCAATTATCACCTCTAAGCCTCAGTTTGCTAACCTGAAAAATGGGAATATGTTTCTCATGTGGTTGTTAGAAGGATTCATTGAAGTAGTTGGGATTAAAGTGCTTTATAGACTGTAAATTGTATTTGAATATAAGCTTATCATTCATAACACTGATTATCAGGGAAATGAAACCAAAAAATGTATGTAAAGTGCTTTATTTTGTAAATGACATACAAAAGTGGAGTTGTATTATTATTGTGACCCTCCTACCCCAGAAGAGGACTTGGCTTCCCAGCATTGAGAGGGTAACCCATGCTGAGTAGCTAAGAGAAGCCTTCCTTCTTCAACCTTTCTATTCAACTTCCCTTCTCCAGTCCCTCCTCTCTGCTGTGACTGGTTCCTTAGCAAAGAGGACAGAGCAGAAAGGCCAGGAGCCCTGCTGAGGGCCCTCTAGAAATTGACGCCAGAGGGCTTCCGAGGGGGAGGCAGCCCTCAAGGCACCTGACCCACACCTGCCTCCTCTGAGGGGCCCTCCCTTAGCCAGAGCCCATTCAGGTTCCTGCAGCCCAGGGCAGACAGAGCGCCTGGGCTCAGACACCAGCCCAGACGTGCTCGCCTCATCTCCAGGGCAGTTCTTTTCATCTCTCTGAGCACTGGGAGCCACAACTGCACATTTAGAGTAATGATACCTACTGCAGTGGTCACAGAGAGAAACCAGTGAGGATATACACGAAAACCCTTGATCCGTGGCAAAGCACAACTCCAATGGGAAGTCATTTATTATTGGCATGAGAAGCAGGGGGATACCATGATAGCTCAGAAGCAGAAGTTTCGTGGTAATGAGACTGAGCTGCCAAAGTTTGTTGGGGAAAACCCGACCCATCCCAAGAGGGCTGGGGCAAGCAGGCTGCAAAGCATCGCAAGCAGGCAAACTTCTCTTCCTTGGGCCCGGACAGACCATTCCAAGGTACTGTTGAGAGTGAAAGCGTGGAATCCTCAGCCCACTGGGCATCACATAAGTTGTTTTCTGTCCTTTGTTCTGTTATGCCTCTTTTTGTGATTCTGGATTTTTCTCAATTTATAGATTTGACTTGTATGTGTGATACTGAGCCCGGGAAAGCTAACAGCATGGCATTTTACAGGATTGATGTTGTGTGTTCTAACTGCAAGCAGCTGAACCCACAGCACAGATCTAAGTCGAATGTCCCAGAGCACTGCTCTCATGGTGCAGGTCTCGGGGTTTGAATGGGTTGGTGGTGACTCTCTGGGCCTTGCTGTGGCAGAGCTCTCACTCTCGTGACCAGACCCAACAGACTGAAGTGGAATGTATGTGAGCACCTAAATGTGTTGTGTATGCACTGTGGGTCTCCTTGCATTTTCTTATTTGTGAGTGACTGACTTCCTCTGTAAACTAATTATTAAAAAGAGAAAATGTTTCCAAGGGACCTCACTGTAGAGACAAAGCTGTGAAATTCAAGGTGTGACAGTCTCGGAGATAAATGGCTTTTAGTTGTTTTCTACCTTTTTCTTCACTCATTTTATTTTATTTTATTTTTTAATATATCTTTATTGATTTCAGAGAGAGGAAAGGAGAGGGAGAGAGAGAGATAGAAACATCAATGATGAGAGTCATTGACTGGCTGCCTCCTGCACGCCCCCGACTGGGGATCGAGCCTGCAACCCGGGCATGTGCCCTGACCAGGAATCGAACCCCGATCACCTGGATCCTAGGTCCACACTCAACCGCTGAGCCACGCTCAGCCGGGCCTTCTTCACTCATTTTAAATCCCACTATTCTTACTGCTAGAATACTGCTGTTTTGTAGACCAAGAGAAAGGCATTTCCTACAGGAAAATAGTAGCCAAAAATTAGAAACTAAGATTTTTTTTTCCTCTCCCCCACTGGAATCTCTGACGCACAGAGCAATTTGACAAAGTCAAATTTTACGATAAAATAGAGATCAAAAAATGTATGCCACTTTTGGTTCTTAATTTGAGACTTATTGTGCACAATATTGCGTGCATGACTTAACTATAAATTATCCTTTACACATGATGCCAGGACAGACAGCTTGAACATTTAGAAAGCATACAACCCATCCCCATCCCCCCGAAGTCTCCCAGTTTATACTTAAAATTTTCTCCTTAGATGTCTTTTTATTCTACGTGGAACTTTCTTCAAAGAGAAAATAGACACGCCTTGTAATTATCGCAGCCTAACAGTAGCTTCATTACCAGGGGACACATCTCGTATTTTATCGAACAATGCTCTACTAATATTCTGAGCTTTCAAGATGTAACAGGAAGTTCAGATAATGTAAAATAAGGTCCTAAATTACCTGCACCTGCACCCCAGGCTTAGGACGACCATTTCAATGACCTAGGATTTCCTCCTGCTTTGAAATTTCATTGTGACTGTTTTTAACTTTTGACTGAGGTAGTGGGGATTGATGGCCTTTGGCCTTTTCTTGGGAAAACAAATTGATGACCTGCATTGTCTCTCCAGACCCAGGGGGCAGGTTCTCCTCGCTCCTCCCCCAGCCACACCGTCAGCAGGCCCATCCCCATGCCCGTGCGGTCGGCGTCAGCCTGCTCCACCCCGACTCACACTCCTCAGGACTCCCTCACAGGGGTAGGGGGAGATGTACAGGAGGCCTTTGCACAAAGTAAGTGGCTTTCCTTTCTGTTGTGTTCTGCTTTTATGTGACAGATAAGTCACCACGGTCTGTTAAGTGGTCTAAAGCCGTGGATATTGTAGGTTATTCTGTGGCTTCTGTGGGAGCCTGGCCCAGGAGCTGTTTCAGAAACTCCCCGGGCTCACCGATCTTACCTTCCTTTGGCTTCTGTTGCCCTGCCTCATTTTTTTATGAGTCTTTGCTCATTAAGGGAAGGGAAATCCTTTCACTAATATAAATGTAATCCATTTCAAAATTCCCAAAGACCTTATTTCCTGCTTCTCTTTACATGAAAGCAAACTCAAGATTGAGATTAAACAATTCAGCTCTTTAGCCTGAGCTGATCAAAAAGGACCATTCGTCATTTTACAGATGCCCTTAAGAGTTGAATCACTGCTTCCAGAATATGGGGTTACTTGGTTAGGCCTCCATAGTTAACAGAGGAGTGCAAAGAGCCAAGGAAGATGAAAAACAGCGTTCTCCCAACAGGCTGCCTCTCCCATTACACACACAGGGTTGGGGAGAGGGGATGGGCTTATCTCTAGGCAAGTGATTTTACTCATTTGGGAATATTTTGACACTTTTTAAAACTTTTTCTTGCCATTATTTTTTAAATTTAGGGAAAATTAGGAAAAAAAAATCCTGCAGACCCTCACCCTGCCGATCTCATTCCTAGAAGTAAACACTATTAATAATTTGGTCCTTCTCAACTTTTTGCTTATATATAAGTATATATGTTTAAGTGTGATTTTACAAACACATACCCTTTATTTTTCACACAAATAAGTTCATGCTTATTTTGGTCTGTAATTTGCATTTTGTTTAAATTGGCAATTTATCATGGCATTCTTCCAGGTCCTTATATATAGATTTCAGGTAAAGAGAGACATATTTGACTACTAGTTTTAAAAAAGAAACACAGCAATTCCACTTCTGGGAATTTATCTGAAGGCAAAAGGAAATATAAACAAAGTCAAAAGACACCAAAACTAGACTCAAGTAAACCATTTCCTACATATGTGGCCGTTCAGTTTCATAATTTCAGTCGTAAAGCATTTAAAGATCAGTAAGAAGACATCCCCAAAATAAACACAGGTGAAGGATATGACCAGAGAGGAAATATAAATTGCCAGTAACAATATGAAAAGATGTTCAATCTAAGAAATCATTATAGAAATACAAATTTTAATAAATATCACCTTTTCTCCAGCAGATTTTTAAAGAGCAACTTTTTTACCATCAGTAATATCCAGATATGGAAAAGTATAAGGAAACGGGCCCTCTCACCTATTGTGTATGGGGGACAAGATCTTACAATTTACAGAGAGAGTCTGTTATGAGGGAAAAGGGAAAATCCATGATAGGGCTTTTTCTTCTGAAAAAGAAAGTAATTTAAGTTAACAAAATAACTTTTTAAAAAAATTTTTAGAAGGAAGAATGTCCTTTCCCCAAATCTTATTTTAAAGAAATTTTAAATCAGTTTGAACCTTGTATTATAATTACTGTTTTATCTAACTCTTTTGATGTTTTAAATTTTCATGTATTTATTAGTTTACTTATTTAGTGTTACTTTCTGAGAAATGACAGAAGGAAATGTCACCTAGCTCACAAAGAGCTTGTGCTGCATAAATTCATCTGTAAGTCAGGTATTTGGAACCTTGAGCCCTTTTTTTCCAAAGATTATGGGGATTAGCACCGTGCTCCATCTCAAACTTGCCTGGTTCCTGGGCCATCCTATAAATACCTATTCAACCCTTAGAGTGCCCGAAACATACTAATCTTTCTCTACCATGAAGAAACATGGTCCAAGTTCCAGTTTGGGGTACCAGACATATATCTTTTGCCCATGTCTTAGCAGCTGAAGCAAGAATCCTCGCCTCTTTTCCATACTCTGGGAGCATTCAGTGCACAGCATTCCCATTCCCAAGAGGTACCTATAATGGGAGGGAGAGCTCTGGGAGGCCTGATTGGACCTGGGCTCTGGTGACAGAGATCAGAATCAGATAGACTCAGCCAGCAGGTAATGGCTGAAATAGTAGCAGCTAGGAAGGCACAGCTCTCCTGGCAAAAGCAGACTTTCATCTGTGTAGATTATTATTAAGAAGGACGACCACATGTACTGGTTTACCTGGTACCAGCCCCATTTATGCCAGGTCACCAGTCTTATTAATACCTCCCCCTTTCACTTACAGAGTTTTCCCAATTTGGACAATCAATTCAATGAACCCCCATCAGTTGCCATGTCTTCCTACGTCAGAGGCCACTGCCCTAAGCACAGTGTACTTTTTTCAGGAAATGAACCAAAGAATGTCTAAAAAGGAGAAGTCTTGGAAGTTTTCTTGCTTTAAAATGGCAATGAAAATTTTAGATAAAAGCCTAAAATTTTGGGAAAAGTAGAAGCTTGGGGTTTTTTTTTTATTTATTGTCATTTCTTCTTAAGGTTCAAGAAGAAATTTAAGGAATGACTTACTAGTGGCAGCGGATTCCATCACTAACACCATGTCCTCTCTCGTGAAAGAGCTGAATTCCGGTGCGTCCTGGTCCCCTCTCATTTGTCTGCTCATTACAGAGGAACCCAAAAGTACTAGGGACCTCTGTTAGAGATCTGCTCATTGTCGAATTTGAAAAGATTTTTTAAAAGATCTATGTGATATTTTGTTGGTATATTCAGATTTATAATTAAGGCTTATATTTGCTGATGAGAAGACTCTTAATACACACTTAATGCAGAAAGTTTAATAATGTAGAAAAGAATAGAGAAAAATATTAAAATTGACTTATCATTCAAGTAGCCAAAGATAGTCACTGTTAACAGTTATCATGGACGTGACAGCTGGTGCGGGCCAGGGACACAGGGTCAGAGCCCCGGGCTCCCTGCGCTGCTCCCCAGCCCTGGCCCCGGGCCCAGCCCCTCTGGGACGGGCACATGTCTCCAGCAATGAGGCCACCAGCACAGGCTTGAGTATCTCATTTATTGAAAAAGTAAAAAGTGTCACTGTAAAAAACAAAACAAAAAAAAAACAGCTATCATGATCCAATGCCCCATGATGCTGAAGTTATTTCATAAGGTCAAGTGTTTTATTGACTAATTTAGACTCTGTTCATTTGGAATGCATGGCTATTTGAATGAGGCTTACCTGAAATTTACCTTTACAGTATCTCTAAAGAAAGTTCTGCCCAGAATATAAATAGCACAAAATTGTGAGAGTCTCTTTATCCTAATAATGCTACAGAGAGTTTTAAAAATTTGAACAGCATGAATACTCAAATAACTATCTTACCATTTATTAATGCATCTCATCTCTTCCTTAAAGCACATTTAGCAAGTATTTGCCTGGCAGGACTGTGTCATGTAGTTGAGATTACAACTATAAGAAATAAAACTTCAATATTTTTTAAAAATCTGGATTTAAATTTCTTAAAAAACTTTCTCACAAGCTCTATAATAAGAATTAAAGTAATGAAAATTATTGCTATTTTAGATTAAGATTGCTAAATAGGATAAAAATGACAGTAGTTAATACACCATGGTTAATGGTAGGTACCCACTGCCTTAGCAAGTGATTACTAAAGATGTCATTATTATTATAGAAGGCTCAAGTACTATTAGTTTATACTCTTATAATATTTTGAAATATTAAGTGAATGTAATACTTCAGTTTGTATTTCCTAAATTAAAGTAATATTAAGCAAAAGTGACAGTTTTACTGAAGACTTCTATAAAGGAGCAAAAACAGGAGTTTTAAGCTATTAAGACACAAAAGATTCCTCATAACATTACTGAGATTTTTTTTTAAAAAGACAATACTATATACCAAACAATTTTATAGTAATTCATGCCAAGTTTCAATTCTCATTAAGAGTTGAAATAAACACTTACTTGACTTACATACAATAATTGGTTAATATTTTATGCAGCGCAGGTTAGTTTATGTTGAGTCTAGCCCTCTATTTGCTGACCATAAAAACTCTAACAACTCATTCTTTATTTCTTCAATTGTACCTAATAGAGGTGGGGAGTGAAACGGAGAGTAATGTGGATTCTGAGTTTGCAAGGACTCAGTTTGAGGATCTGGTTCCATCGCCAACCTCTGAAAAGGCTTTTCTAGCGCAAATCCAGGCCCGGAAACCCGGGTACATTCACGGTGGAGCTACCCCAAGCACCATGCGCAGCGATGTGTGAGTATCTTCTGCTTGGGGGTATTTTCTCAGTAACAGGACACTGTAGGGAGCATAGGAAAATGAAAACATGGTTGTTTCATTCTTTATTTTGAAAAGAGATGATGCATCCTCCTTTTCTGACAGAAGAGGTGGAAGGTGCTACATTTGAATTTGGCATTGTGACTCCCCCCCTCACAATTTCCAGAGAGTGTCAATAACCAAAACCAACCAGTGCTTATTGAGAGCCTGGCTCACCCAAGGCACTGGGCTAGTTTGATATAAAATAGTACTTTTAAAAAATCACTCCCAGCCTTCTAGGACTCACAGACTAGTTCAGGAAATAAGTTACCCTAGCTTCTGAGTTTTCTGTATTTGCACTTGAAGGACCCCATGATGCTGGAGGCCTCTGTTCATAATGGGATCAACTTCATATAAGCAACAGGAATTGAAATATATACAGTCACGCACCACTTAATAACAGGGATATGTTCTGAGAGATGTATCACTAAGTGATTTCATCATTGTACAAACATCATAAAATGTACTTACACAAAGCTAGATGGTCTAGCCTACTACACACCTAGGCTAGATGGTGTACCCTCCTGCTCCTACGCTACAAGCCTGTACTGCATGTCACTGCAGAAAACATCAGATTAAATCAAGCACAAAAGAATTGATGTAATCAAGATACAAAGTAAACACGAGATGTTTGGGGCTGCTGCCACCATAACTCAGCATACTGTTTAACAGCAAGTTTTTTTTATAAGTACAAGATAACACTAAAACATATAGTAAATGCATAAACTGATAACAGAGTCATGTATTATCATTATCAGGTATTATGTGCTGTACATAATTATATGTGCTATATACTGTTATATGACTGGCAGCACAGGAGGTTTGTTTACACCAGCATCACCACAAACACAAGTAATGTGTTGCACTCTGATGTTACAACAGCTACGATGTCAGTCTGTCAGTCGTATAAGCTGTTGGTCCTTGACCAATGTGTCCTTATGCAACGCATGACTATAAATGCATAAAATCTCAGTATAAAGAAATCCAATTTGGTTGACTTATTGAATATGTATAAATCTGACCCTCGAAAGACATTTTGCAAAGGTTTTCACCCAATTAAACTTCTGTACCTTGATGGAAGCCAGCAGAATCAGTGATGTCCCCACAAGACTTTCTGTGAAGCTGGTTCTACTCAGAGTAGTCAGGCAGAGAAAACCAAAGCTGAGAAACAAAGGTGAAGCTAGGCCAGAGCTGCAGAGCCCAGCTTGGGAGGGAAACAAAGGTAAGAATGTGGGCCTTTAGGAGAGTCAGGCTCACGGAATTGTGAGCAATGTGGGCAGAGGTTCGCCAAAAGGCTGGAAGAGGGAATTGCTAACCATTCAAAAAACTACAGAAGGGTGATGGTGCTTAATGTAAAAAGTACCCCAGGCTAGTCTACAAAAATAAACTGTCTATTTTAAAGACTCAAAGAAGAAACTAAACAGAGACCTTTCTGGTGTTTTGGCTCCCAGTCCAAGCAGTGAGTAAAAGACCAGTCATAACGGGGAATTATAAATAGCTATGCTTTGAAAGCCAGCTGTGAAAAGGCAGAGAAGATCAGAACAAAACAGTTATAATGTAATTTAACATGGCAGTGGGCTGCTGCTTTTAATTTTCGTTTGCTCTCTTGTCCTTTCCATTATAATTCAGAATTATTTAATTTTTTTGTTATTCAAAATGGTGAAGTAATAATTGTCATCCATTTAGCCTGGTAAACACATCCACTTGACTTTCTATGATTAAGCGTTTACATGGTGGTTACTTAATACTTTTTTGTTCTGATCCTAAGATCCAAGACTGTAGCTAAAGCCACCCCCCCTCTGCTGTCCCTGGTATGCTGGCCACAGTTCCAGCTACCAACACTGCGTAGGAATTGGGGGGAGAAAGCTCATAGAGGCCTCAGAAACCTATTTATGCTGGCCCCAAACATCTAAAAATAACAAGAACATGTTGTACAGATATAACTAAACATGAACAATGGCATTTAAGTTCCCATCCAGAAACTTCTCCTTAACCGCTCTTTTCTTTTTAGGGGATATTTTAATATCTGTGCTATCTAAACATGTCCTATGTTTTACCCTGAGAATATTTTAGTCCCATAATATAGGTAGTGAACTTATGCTCTGAGAGCTCTATACATATTGGGATGAATAGATGGAGACCGTCACACATTAGTGAATGAGGTCATTCTTATCTATTTTATAGTGAAATTGGACAATTTAAATGGGTTTCTTAGATTTATAGCTAGTATATATTTTTATCAAGAGCCATGGGTTAGAGTATTAGTATTCCTGACATTGATTAGCTGATATTCTGAGACTTGATTCCACTATAGAAATAAAGCACATGGGTGCACATGCCTACACACGTGCATAACACAGAGAGGGTTAAATTATGAACAAATGTCCTTAATCTTTATTTCACTAGAGGGCTCACTTTCCTTGTAGAAAGTGTTCTTGGATTCCATTTAAAAGAAAGAAAAACCAAAACCTCAGGCTGGGAAAACCATATCCACCTGAAAGATAAGCCTGCCTGTTTTTAAGATAGACAAACATTTAAAGGGCAACTCATTCCTGTGAATGTAAACCATAGAAAAATATAGTTGGCCAATGATCACCAGAGTGCCATAGAAAAGTCGCATGTGAGAATACCTTGACCATATATTTCCCTAAACTTCCGAAGTTTTTTGTGTGGTTTTTGTTTTTTTTTTAGTTTCTTTTAGGTAACAGGAAACACTGAATTGAAGTGAATTGAAATGAAGAAGTGAATTGGAGGGCAAAGAAAATGTGCCCCCCACGCTGCAGCTAACCCGTGAATTTCACTTAGACTTTCCTTTCAGGGTTTGACCCCAAACTCCGTCTGTGGTTTATCCCCAGGGTTACAGAAGATGGGGATCCCTACGTGCGGCCTGAAGATGAGAATTATGAAAATGACTCGGTCCGGCAGCTGGAGAACGAGCTCCAGATGGAGGAATACCTGAAACAGAAGCTGCAGGACGAAGCCTATCAGGTACCGGGCGCCAGGCCCACGCGCCCGCCTGCGCTGCTCCCGCCCCTCAAGGAGCAGCTGGGTCTTTTACGTTACTAGAAAAAATCGGAGCCTTCTCCCTCCTTCCACCCTCCCTTTCGGGAATGTTCTGGCTACACTCAGTCCACGTATTCTAGACACTAAAAATTCTCAGTACTTCTTGTAGCTGTCACTCACCCTGTATTATAAATTCTGACCCGGGAAGTGAAAAGAGGCCTTGTCACAGTAGCAGCAACGTGGTGATTAAAAGTCCACGCTCCTCCAACATCACCAGCAAAGATGCTTTTTCTCATAGATGAGAAAAGATACTGAGAACAAGGCCCAAGGAAATTGAATGCGCATAAATGTTTCTCCTCCCTTGAAACACCTGTCCTCAGTTTCCCTCACCACCTCCCTCATGTCAAATGTAAATCATAAACAAGTGACAGACCTCACCGGGAAATGCTGAGGGGACTTGTAGGCCCCATGTTCCGCAGAGTGTGGATGGACAGATTGTCACATATACTGGACCATATTAATCCATCTGAGAATTCACTGACCATAAAACATACAATTGGGAATAAATGTAATTAGTAACTCATCCTAAAGTGGATGCATTTCCCCTGTGGAGGCTGCTCTACAGCTATGTTTGTCTTTCTTGTAGGCTTCCCTTCCCTGTAACCCACCCTGTTTTCTTGGGCTTCTGGGAGTTCAGTGATGTTTGCCTGTCTGAGACCTGCTGCCCCGAGCCCCAGTGGGTTATTTTATTGGCAGGCTTTCTGTCCAATGGCCAGAGAACTTTTTCCACATTCTTAGGTCAGCAGTGGCTCTCTCTTACTCTGTTAGTGAAAGAAAGAGAAGCAGAGAGAATAAATTATATTCTTTTCTCATGTGTTTATAGATTAAATTTTGAAATATTTTCCCAAGAAGAATGTAGCAGGAGGAAAATGGAAGCCCACCAGCCCCCCCCCGACACTATGAAACTAAAGTTTTGCTTCTTTGGAATGTTCCATTTGCCCTTTTGGTTTAACAACCACATTTCAGAAGCAAGTAAAATGTTGGTCTAGTCATACACAGAACAGCCAAAACAGTGATTATATGTGTAATGCCATGCTTCAACGCTACAGAAACAAAGTCGCCTAAAGTACAGACCCATGGAGAAGGCTCTTTCTTTGCGATTTCTGTGCCCATCCACAGAAGGAAATTAGCCTGGATGAAGCTGCCAGAGTGTCTCTGGTAACTCTGAGGGATGGTCTACACATATCTCATTTGATTCTGCTGCATAGAGGGACAGAGAGATATGGTTAAATGATCAATATTCTGGTTCATGCTGATAGAAGTGCCTGTTAGGTCTCTCTCTCTTGGAACTCATATCAGTTTCTGGATTTGGGTGGCAACAGTTGCTGAAATTATAGGGTTTATTTTAAAGGGAGGCAGCCATTCCATATAAAATATTAGATTTTTATTTGTTTTCATGAATTAGGAATTTAATTGTATATGAATAAAATGAAGGGAAATTCTAATAATAGCTTAAGATCCAGTTGGAGCTTTTGCCATCTCGGTAAATCTTAAGCTTCTTCTCTCTCTCCTTTCCTTTCCATGCCTGGTGTCTTCAAGGGAAAGGCAAAGGAGAATATAACAGGCTTGTGTGTCCTCACTCAAGACGCCCTGGAGAGCACTGAGGTGGTTTTCCTTGACTGCTCTGTGAGCATACGGTTATTTGATGGATCAGAACGCTTTACTGTCATTCATTGGACTTTCTCTCTCTCTGTCTTTGTGCATGGCTTCCAACCAAATAATTCACCAGCTTGACTGCATCACAGACTTGACATGTCACCTTTCTTGTTTGTGTCCTTTGTCACCCACAGGTCAGCTTGCAAGGTTGAATACAATATCCTTTTATCACTCTCCTCTCAAGTAAGTACCCTCTCATTTAGGAGGAAATGTGGGCACTATACACTGAATTCTCATAACTTGTAACCTGAATTCACAATCACTCTTTCTTAGGTGTTTCTATGTGAGAAAATATCCTCCTTCCCTGCTTTTGTCAAAGAATCATCCCAGTCTATGGGGCATTCCATTACAACCCAGTGGAGATTTGGCAAACAGCCCTGGGAGTTGACTTTTTAGCTCTGTTAATGACGTGAAATGGCACAGAAACTTCTGTAACACTAGATATACCCCTGAAATGTTCTGTGGCTATAAAGCCACATCACCAATCCGTAACAGCACCCAAGTGTGAGCTTCTCTATCACTTGAGAAGGAACAGTCCAGGCTGGCTCAGCACTTCCAGAGATGGGTCAGCTCCTTAGTCATGCTGTGCTCAGGGCCCAAAAGCTCAAAGAGGTGTCCTTAACAAGAGAAAGCAAAACCGAAACAAAAGCAAAAATGAAAGAAGCAAAACATACAGGAAAACTGCTGCAGCCTTTTATTTTTGGAATAGCTAGTTCAAATCCTTTGTGGAATTCACAAATCCTTTGTGAATATTTTAAACAATTTAAAATATCATTTATGTGGCACGTGATCCTTTCCCCCCAAGGACCTGCCTACATACATGGAAAATCCTCGGTAAATGTTTAATGGAGAGAGAACAGCATTTGACTGGCAGGACCACTGAAGTGTGGTGGTCTGAAGCGTAGGCTCTGATTTCAAATAAGAGCTTCAGCAAATCCTAGCAGCATAACCTGGACAAATTATTAAACCTCTATGACCCCCTGTTCCCTCTGTACAACATACATGATAATTCCTACGTCATAGAGGAGTTGTCCTCACTGAGATACAGTTTTTAAAGATCTTAACATAGTGGCAGGCACACTATAATTTTAATGAGCACGCTCATAATGTGCCTGGCACCATGCTCGGTGCTTTACAAGGGATTCAGTCCCTGGGAGCTGCTGTAGTTATGCTGTAGGTGTATGGGAAGCCCTGGGACTCAGAACTAGCTTGCTCCTCCTACTTTCTATAAACAAGGCTAGGACTCAGTTATGTGCAATGATTCGATACATCTTCAGCTCCACTGTCCCATAAGTCTAGATGGTTTTTCTGGCTCCAGCTAATGGCCACTTAGATATTCCTCATTACGGTTCGAAGCTAATACTTCTCTCATAGTTATCTGGCTGCACTGGTCCAAGGACTTGTATCTACTGTAGTTATACAGTCTTTTCCAACTGTGGAATCCCATAGGTCTATAGTGCAGTTGATAGTAAACTCAACTCAGGCTGCTAAATTGAAAAAGGGATATAATATATATGTATTTCCTAAATGTCATCAATTAGTGAAGAGTACATTCCAGCTAAAACACTACACACCTCCTGTCTCAGTCCTCAGGTTAAGATTAAGCAAATAAAATCATGGCATAATTGCTATTAAAATATGCTTTTGGAGCTGTGAGCCCCTTTTGGTGTAAAAGGAAGGATCTTATTGACCCAGTTCCATTCTGCCACCCTTGGATTGAAGAATGCTACACCACAGGCTCTCCTGATACATTACGACTACAGTGAAAAAATTCTCAGGAGCTGTTTCTGAAAATATTCGCTCCAGTTATAACAAAACTAGTCCCAAGGGAGCAAGCTTTTTTCTTTAATAGCATTTTCTTTCTCTTAGCTCCAGCAATTTGATTGTTTTTGTTCTGCACTTTAAACATCAGTAGTTACTTCTTAGAAAAATATATTTTTTAAAAGCCTAATAAATTGTCCTTGACATAAACCCAGATAAAAAGTGGTATTTGGTTCTTGTACCTACAAGCCAAATATTTCAGTACTTTGAAAGTTCTTAGGCAATTTTTTATCTTTGCTACAAATTTGGCAGTAAAAATTTAGCACAGCTGAGGCCTCTGCCATTTAATGCACCCTGTACCTACCTAGCTGGCATTCCATAGGACTCTAAACATGAACCAGCCTGTCACTAAATCAGCCACTTAGGCAAAATTCATCTAAAACCTGATAGAACCCTGCAGAAGCTAGTGGCTTTTCTTCGCAGCTAGTTCTATCCTACTGTAATTTCTCTTGATGTAGCCAAGAAACTGTAGAGCATTTTATGGTATTCAAATCTATTTCGTTGACTTTCTGACTGTACTGCAAGACCAGAAGTTATCCCAAAGTATATGTATCTCTTATCCAAGGGTCCTAAAGCTAGCCGACTTCATTAGCTCAAAGTTAATTAGGCTCCCACTGACAGAGCCCTACATGAGTGGAACACCAGAGGTGTGGAAGCCCCATCCTCTGCTCAAAAAGAGCCTTAGGCCTATTTGAAGACAAATATGCACTTATTAACACAAAAAACAATAAAACTTGGTTTACTGCTTTTCAACTAGCCACTTTCAAAGAAACAGTATACATGAGGATTAGCATTCAACTTAAGAGTCCACCAAAACTCCATTTTGGCCCACTCAAACCTTGGATTTGTCCCCTTTCCATCCCTCTGGCCACATAGTATTTCACTTTCCTTGGCCAGCCACAGCCTAACTTCAGAAATTTGGGGATTTGAAATTAAAAAGTGGATTTTTAAAAAAAAATTTTTTTAATTAGCATGGCATTCTGATGGTGAGTCAGTGCTCTTAGCTCCTTGTCGAAAGGACCGTTTTGCATTGCTTTAACCCTCCAGATGCCTCAGGTACCCACTGAGCAAGAGACTCAATATGAGGATTCTTGTCCTCTCTTTCAGAAGGTAAAATAAATAGCACACAGTGTCCCGGGACGTTCATTCCTGATTGTCAGAGGAAGGGAGGAGAGAGAGAGAGAGAGAGAGAGAGTGAGTGTGTGTGTGTGTGTGTGTGTGTGTCGGGGGGAAAGGGGGGTCCTAAGCTCCCTAATACTGATTTAGAGAACAGTTTTCATCTTTAAAAAAAATATATTACACATTCCTTATTCCCAGGCAAACTATAGTCAGACAGATGATGAAAGTAACAGGAGAGCTGGTGATGACGGGGAGCGCTGCACCCACCCACACAGAGGAGAAGACAGCAGCCTGGCAGCAGCCCCGCCGAGAGGAGCCACCCCACGCAGCAGCTCCCGGCAGACCCCGCCCCAAAGACACGTGCTGCTGACTGTAGTGCAGCCGACATTTTGTTCTAAGACTTGTAGTTCGTAGGTGTGTGTTTTAAGAAGGAGAAAAAAAAAGACTTCTGTTCAAAGCTAACTTATCAGCTACATCTTCTGTAACATGGCTCATCCCTGGTTCAAAACAAACAGAAAAACCACAGGCTGAAAACCCGTGCTGCTGTTACTCACGAGGGCAGTATTAATAAGCATTTTAAACCTTTGCACATGATATTGAACCTGTTCAGTTTACAATGACAATATTAATACTGTTTATAGCTAGAAGTTTGATTTCTGAATTCTTTGAGATTTTAGCAAAACAGTTTATTATACAATGTACTTTTTTTTTTCCACAGCAATTGGGGAAAAACAACCACTTGCAATTATTCATTGGCCCCGAAGGATTTGGTTCCTGAGTGTACAGACTCAGAGGTCCTTGGCCTGCACTGTCTGCCATTGTCTCCAAGTCTCTGTGAGCAGTGACTTGAACCAAACACACCAGGATAATCCAGTCTTTGGGGCTTCTTTCCAACTTGAGGTTGTTTTCTTTCAAGATATTCTAGCAAATCAGCCATAGAATTTAGTGTAAATATTTTTTCCAAATAGATAATCATATTCAAAAAAGACAACATTCAAATTATATAGAATCTAGTTTTTAAAATCAGCACAGATCTTCTTAAAACTGTGAACTATGTTTTGAAATACTCGTTACTAAAGCTGTTTATAAACCACAGGTGCCATAAGATCCCCAAATGGACTAAAGTGATCTCTGCTCTTCCATGGTCTTGTTCCTCTCATTTTAGCTTTAGGGAGCATGTCTCTAACAGCACCGCTCATCCACAAATTCCCCTATCAGGTTGTTTGGAGGCCTTCAGCTTTAATTGTACAGGCTTAAAGTGCGCTTGCAAAAAACGTCTGCTCTCCTTTGATTTCTGAATGTTTATTGCCTTAGTGTTCTGCATGCAGCCTCTGTGGTCATGTGAAAGGAAACAGGCTCTTCTAAGTTGAGTTGGGATTTTGCACTCAGGGAAAAGCTGGTGTGCAAAAGAACTGTCAAAGAAGTGAGGATAAAAGACTCTGTTGATGGTCCTTTATAAGGACCCTTTTGGGGGATTGCTAATGACCTCCCTTAGGGATTCCTGGGAAATGAAAAAATAACCTATCTTTTTCAAGATTTGGTGAAATAAAAATCCTGCAACATATTAGATACATTATACTTAAATTGGCAGCTTTTCTGGAATTCCCGCTTCTCCTTTAAAAGAAAGAAGAGAACATCATTTTAGAACAGTGCTTCTCAAAGTGTGTTCCCTGGACCAGAAATGATCAGCATCACCTGGGAACTTATTTAGAAATGCAAATTTTGGGGCCCCAACCCAGGCCTATAGAATCAGAAACTCTGGGGGTTGGGCCCAGCAATCTGTGTTTCAATAAGCCCTCAAGGTGATTCTGATGCACACTGAAGGTTGAGAACCACTGCTTTAGAATAAACTTGAATAGTAAAATCTCTGAAAAAGCCTTATTCAGAATAAACAAGAAAGGTTCTGTGTCAACCTTAAAGCTTCAGCAATTTAATTTTGCTTCGAGGGCTGGCAGAAGCCTTCTCCCACCCCACATAGTTGGTAGTTGGTGGGTGCCCAGCTGAGAACAGACATCCTGACATCTTCCAGCTCCCTCTCCAGAGGGCTGTAAGATGTTCCTATCTCTGCCTTTGGTCAGAAACCATCTCCTTGGCTGCCCTTGAGAACAAAATCACTTGCCTTGGGGATGTAAAGCTCTTGGTTGGCATTAGTAAGGAGCCCATTCTATCCATCGATGTCCTTAATCATACTTCCTTCCGGAGAACCAGCCTGACAAATGTCCCTGAGAACAGGCTGATACCAAAGTGGCACGACTGCACGGTTCTCAGATTTCTTTGCACAGATGGATTTTATTGCGGGTTTTGTTGCTATCTTTTAATGTTCATCTCCTTTCCACCGCCCATCTTCTGTGAAACCATACCTCTCTAGATGGAGCAGGTGGTCCCTGGTGCCTCATACTCAGTACTTAAAACCACTACATCCCAGCTACCTACATTGCTGTCAGCTCTAAATCATAGCCAGGTAGTTCTTGAACTCAGAACTCTGACCCTGCAAGTGGCATGCAGCCACTGACTGGATGGAGCTGACGTCTGTTGTCACTTTGTGTTTCTACATTAGAATGTTTGTCTAGGGTTTGAACTGTTTTGCTGATAATCTTCCCCCTTGTCGTAGCTTTCATTGCCAACTCCGTCACACAGTTGTTGATACCCTACCATGGTACAAAGCCATTGCAAGGACTCTGGAAACTGCTGCCAATGACCAATTCCTGACTAACCAGCCACCTTTTCTTTCTCTTAGCTCCACGTCAGCACTGAGACCAGACTCAAGCACCCCTGTCCTGTAATCGAGACAAAATGGCGTGTGTTGTTTTGGGCTTTTGTGGTTTTTGGTGGGTTTCTCTCCTTGGCTCTCCAAATTTACTTTTGGGGCCTGTTCTAAGAGCGAACCCAGCAGGTTGTACCTGGCCTGTCCATCAGATACAACTATATCTTGCGGGGGTGTTTCTTTCTTGTTCCACGATGAATTGCACATCCATCTCCATCAGAGAGGATGGCCTGTTAATGAGCACTGGTCTAACACAGCCAACCTTCCTCCACAGCACCATGTTCATGGAGGGGGAGGGGGGAAATCTACTGTACGGGATTCAGGAATCAGTTGTGGTTGGTCAGGACGGAAGTCGGGGTAAGTTCGGTTGGTCAGAGGGAGATGTGCTGGAGATTGTGAAAAATGGATTCTCGAATGACAAGGCAGGGAAGGTTCATTTGTAAGTAGTAATGTGAACTTAATTGCATAAGAGTGTGGCCTTTGTTGTGATATACTATGTATTTTCTTATATGCATGAGCCAAACTGTTGCATCATAATTTAGCACTGATGTCTGCTTTTATTTTGGTCATCTTTGTCCACCCTGATTAGTTCTTGGCTGTTAACTGTAGATAAACGTAAATACGGCAACTTTTGGTTGCTGGAATCACCTTGGTTCAATTCCACGCAAGGAGCCACAAACAAGAACTCCACTGTGTCCTCAGAAGAAAGGGCATTTTTACTTTTTAACCAAAAAGGAAAAAAAAATCAGAAGCGTTACATCTTGAGGCTAATTAACTAGAAAACATTTTTAATTGTGACTACTGTAATTTGACACTATTTGAAGTAACCAATTCAGAGACCCTAAAGATTTCACAATATTCATTGGTATTGTAACAAAACTACTATTGTATGGGTTTTTGTATTGCTGTTAAGTATTGTTTTGTGTGTATGTGTGTGCGTGTGCGTGTGCGTGTGTGTGTGTGTATGTGTGTGTTGGAACCTCCTGGGGACATGTTATATTTTGAAGTGATTAAACTATTTAATTGTGTGTCTATATTTTGGAATGGAATTATTTCTTCATTAAAAAATGTTTTTAAAAACACTATATCTTGTGTATTTTATCCCTTTGTTTAAATGTTTCCTAAGGTAACATGAAGTCAGTCTGTTCAAAGGAGAAATACAAGTCAGTAATTGCAACCTGAAGCAGGACCTGTGGATTGAGTATTAAGCATCTGAGGCAAAATATCACAACTTTGGGGATACAATTTTTTTTATGGAAAGCCTTGTTATGGTCAGTATGAGGGTGGGTTTGAGATACTAACAGCTAACATATTTAGTGCTTACTTTATATCAGACACTGTTATAAGATAAGCACTTTATGTTACTTCACTTGATCCTTTGAATTTGCAGCGTCTAACCAGGTACTTGGAAAATATCACATGTTCAACAATTATTTGTTGAATGAATGAATTAGTGGCTTTTGTTTTGTTTGTGCTAGACCTAGTGAGAAAGGAGAATCAGCATGCCCTGGAGGTCAATATGGTGATAGCAACAGACGCAAGAGTTCCAAGAAAGGGACAAAAACAGAGCGTTGCCACTCCCTACATTCTAAGTTTTCCTCTGAGAATCTCAGTGATTCCCATGCAATGGAGTGTTGTGTGTTTTCTTTGCTCAACAAGTCAATTCCTTTACAGAACCATTAACAGAACCTGAGTCTGGCTCCAACACTTCCTGAATGGCATTTTGGGGAACTCTGATTTGGAGTGGTGCTGCAAGTCTGTGCTCATAGTCTGGGTTGATTCGGAGTCCATGAAAATGCTGTACATAAGAGGCACCAGAGAAAGAAACCTAAGAGGCTCTGCATCAATTACAGGGGCAAACCCTGACCTGATGTGACTACTAGAGCAAACACATATCCTCCTTCCCTTTGGTGAGAGACAAGGGCATGTCCATCGATGCCTGTCAGTTTCTTTTAGCTGCATCTCGGTGCCTCATCCCTTCTTCTCTTAGGGACCACATTTAGTTCTGAGCTCCCTCTCTCAACATCCCTCAATGTTATCTAATTGGAAAAGTCACCCAAGGAGTTGGTAAATTCTGATATAACAAGTCTAGAGTAGGGCCAGGGAATCTGTATGTTTAATAAGTGCTTAAGGTGATACTTATGGTTTGACACGTTTTAGGAAATGCTATTCCCTTGCTACTCAAAATGTGATCCAGAGACCAACAGCATTAGCATCACCTGGGAGCAAGTGGCAAATGCAGAACCCCAGGCTCCAAACCAAAACTACTAAATCAGAATCTGCATTTCATCAAGATCCCCAAGGGATTTGTGTGCACCTTATTAAGGAGCTCTGACCTGGAGTTCAGCTTTAATCGTAGCTCTGCAGAATTAGGTTCATTTGGGTCCTTGGGGAATAGAATGACAAGCCAGGGGTGCTATTTCAGCTAGGATAGTGCAGTGCTTCTTGAGCTTGTAGTTTTGATTTAGTGACTCTATGGTGGGTGGGGCCCAAGAAGATAAGCATTTCAAAAAAGTTCTCAGGGAAGCTGATACTTGTCTGAGGACAACACTTGAGGTGCAAGGCTATAAAGTTCTTTTAAATGAGACAAATTCTGAGGAGCTTCTTACTGGTAAACAAGGTCCAATAATCTATCCCTAACCTTTGGGGATTCCTGTGCATAGCAAATAAAGATACTCAAGTCTAAGGACATGAACATGATGGAATCTCTGTTGTCTTGGGCCTTTCAGGGAACACTGTAGCAGTTAAACTATACCAGGAGCACTGGAACAGTTGGATTTAAGGATTCTGCCAAAGAAGAAGCTTTTGCTCCAAGAACTGAGGCCTCTGTCTCCTCTAGGAGTAAACTCACCTAGTGTCCACAGAAGAGCAGATTGACAAAGGGGATAGATAGGGTCAATTTGGGTTAAGAGAAACTGCCAACATTTCAGATTCATCATTCCAGCAGAGTATATCAGCTACTGAGGCACCCAGGAAGAGGTTCTGTGGGCACCTTGGGAACATGGGATCCTGCCCTCTGGGTCTATGATGTCACAGATTACACTGGGATTACTATGCTAGGATGAAGCACACCCCACCCCACCCCACCCCCACACACACTTGAAACCCCAAGGATACATATACAGTTAGAACTGGCCTAAATGGACAATAACGTAGGAGCACTTAAACTATGTATGCCATGATACAGTAGGCTGGAATACTAAGAAGCCATAACAATGATGATACAGAGGTAAGTTTATCAACATGGAAGATATTTACATGTCAACCCAAAAATCAGATTATAAAAGTGTAAGAATGGTCCAAGTGCTATAAATACTTGAGTAACTGGGCACAGAAAAATACCCAGAAAAATATATACCAAAAGTTGATTACCTAAATCATGGGATAATGGATTTTTTTTTATCATGTTACTCTATTCCAAGTTCCCTATCATAAATATTTAGAGTTGATGGGTGGATGGATACGAAACACTTGGGTTGGACAGTTTCTTTGATTTGGTAACAAGGCCGCTTGAGTTGGCCAACATCTTGGAAGGGCATGCCTCACAATGAGAATTTTCTGTGCCTTCAGCGAACAAAGGATTCTTTTTGCCTGTAGAGATGCTCAGCGGCATTATTATTCCAAAGAGCATTGGGAAACATGTTTGCTTGCTTTATTTTATTTTATTTTTGTTTGTTTTTCTTTCTTTTTTTCTTTATTGTTGAGCGTATTACAGGTGTCCCATTTCCCCTCCCCCAACTGACCCCTCCCCAGGCCTTCACCCCTTTATTGACTATGTCCATGGGTTTTGCATAGATGCACATAACTTCTTCGGTTAATCTCTTCCCACCCTCCACCCCCCTTCCCTCTTCCCTCTGAAATATGATCGTCTTTTGCATGGGTCTATTTAGTTCATCAGATTCTTTTGTTCATTAGCTTCTTC